AGAGAGAGAGAGAGAGCGAGAGAGAGAGAGAGAACGAGAGAGAGGAGGAGGAGGAGGAGGAGGAGGAGGAGGAGGAGGAGGAGGAGGAGTGTATGTTGTTTGTGTGAGAGAGAAGAAGATAGAAGAGAGAGAGAGAGAGAAAGAGAGAGGGAGAGAGAGAGAGAGAGAAAGAGAGAGAGAGGGAGAGAGAGAAAGAGAGAAAGAGAGCGCGAGGGAAGATATAGAGAGAGAGAGAAAGAGAGAGAGAGAGAGAAAAAAAAAAAAAAAAAAAAAAAAAAAAAAAAAAAAAAAAAAATCGAGAGGACCGGGAATGGACAGGGGGGAAGCCGCCAGGCGCTCGCGAGCTCTGGGAGCCCATGGAGAGGTCGGCCGGCCCGTCGGCGCCGACGAGACCGAGACGATCGAGGCGACGTCGGGGCTGAGACGGCCGAGACGATGGCGCCCGCGGCGCTCCTGCCGCGCCTGCCGCCTGGCTGCACGCCAGGGGCCAGCGAGGCTCGGAGGCGGCGAGGCGACGAGCGCAGCCCCGGGGCCGGCCGGCTCGCCTCGCCAGGGGGGGGGTCCTCGGCAGGGGCGCCGGGGATCCCGGCCTGCCCGCACGGCCCCCCGGGGGGCTCGGGAAGCAGCGAGAGCGGAGAGCGCCCGGGGAGCGCCCGGGGAGCGCCTCGGCTCAGGTTGAAGTCGGGCCTGTCCCCCCACAGGGGGAGCTTGGGCGAAAAGTGAAAAACATACGCAAAAAGTACTCCCACATGGTCAAAAAATAACCAACAAATAGTCCCCAGACTATGTTTGGACTATCTATGAACATTCCCCCTGTGGAGGGACGGGCCCGACTTACGCTTAGGTGGGGGACGAAGCCTCGAGGTTCGAGGTTCGAGGGCGTTTTCCACCTTCGCGATGCTATCCAGCGGCTGCGCCTCGCCGAGAGAGTTCCAGGGGCGCCAGAATCGTCCCGAACGGCCACGAGAGGCCAGAATTATGGCCCGAAAACCAACGAGGGCTTTGGCCGTGTTCGGCCTCTGGGGGCCCTCGCCGGGCCCCAGGGCTGTCAGAGAACAGCTCGGGATGAAGAACCGGTCCTGGGGAATGGGTCGAGACCCCGGGGGGTCGACGTCATGAGAAAGTCATGAGGTCGGGGGTCTTTGGTGGGACGCAGAAGGATCTACCAGCACTGGGTGCCCTCCTTTGAGGCGCACGCCCGAGCCGAGCAGGCAGCACAGACACCGCACCGGACATCGCTGCACGTGCGGAATAGGCAGAGAGCGCCCGCCACCGAGGCTGTGCTGGAAGACTTCTGGAGAATGTTTCTCGGATCGGCGATGACCCAGGCTATCCTGGGGGGGGAGGGCCGGCCGATGACCTAACCTTCGCGCTGTGGGCAGCCCTGCATATGCCCGCGCGCACCGGTGCTGCGGCGCCTACAGCCTACCGCTGCTGACGATGCTGCGACGATGCTGCTATTGGTGCTGCGACGATGCGGGCGCCGTCTGAGTGCCTACGAAAATGTCCAGACAGCTAGCATTGGGATACGCGGGATGGGATTGCTGACAGTAGCCGCGGAACCTTGTGCTCACTACAGTGCATGCGTGCACCACAACGCCTGCGAACACTACAAAGAATGCGTGCGCAACAACGCTCTTGTACATAACAGGTGACCGCTGCGGCAGCAGCTTCTGCTTGCACCGCAGCGCCAGTGTACACACCCCGATGCTTGTGCACACAACAGGGGCCGTGTGCACCACAGCGCCTGCCGAAAAGTTGCGCCACAGAGCTTCCATGCACCTCCAATTCAAAATGTAAGATATTTGTGACTATTGATTTTTGTAGCCCGAGTTACGCTCCGGCCGTTTAGGGCCGACCATGTCTGTGCACATCACTGTGCCTGTCCAGTGTAACCTCAGGCAGTTAATAAGAATCCTCCCAGGGTTATCCGTAGCACCGCACCGATACTAATACATTTCAGGGGGAATTTAAGCCGAACGATAACTTTGGCGCCGCGCTAAGCAGCAAACAAAAAATATTCACCTCCCCCCCGCAATCGGCATCTATAATCAGGACTGGCGGCAAGAACGCAAGGACCTTGACATTCGTTTCGAAAATTTGCAAAGAATTTCACGGATTGAGGGCGGCTGACGGCTGACGGCGGGTGCCAGGATAACGCTTCCCGGCGCGTCAAGTGTTATGCGTTTGCCGAAGAGGGGGGGGTTCTTATGAACCACCTGAGGCTACACCACACCACGGCGCCTTCATACACCACAGCTGCTCGGGTACACCGCAGTGCCTGTCTACACAACAGTGCTTGTGTACACCACGATACCTGTGTACACTACAGCTGCCGCGTGCACCACAGCGCCTGTGTACACGCCGATGCTTGTGCACACAACAGGGGCTGCGTGCACCGCATGGCGAACATTTGCGCCACAGCGCTTCCGTGCACCTCGAAAGTCTGGAAATTCGCTGGGGGCCGAACGCATCAAATTCAATATGTAAGTGATTTGTGATTTCTGATTTTTGTGGCCCGGGGTACGGTCTCGCCGTTTGGGGCCGACCATGTCTGTGTACACCACAGTGCCTGTCCAATGTACACCACGACGCCTTTGCACACCACAACTGCTTGTGTACACCGCAGCGCATGTCTGCACAACAGAGCTTGCATACACCAAGACGCCAGTATACACTGCATCAGCCGTGTGTATAGGAGCACCTGTGTACAGCACAGTGCCTGCGTACACTGCGACGCATTTGTGCACCACGGATGCTGCATCAGCATCATATGTGTGGACCACAACTCTGGTGCACCAAAGTGCTTGTGTACACAGCAATACTGCTTACACTTCCACAACCACGGCTGGACCGAAGTCTGGAAAATCGTAGGGAGCCCGAACGTCTGAAATCCAACATGAATGTGATTTGTCATTATTGATTTTTCTGGCGAAGAGACCTGTCCTGTGTATTGGGCCCACAGCGCGTGTGTACACCATAGCACCATAGTGAATGTGTGTATTACAGCAGGTGCGTTCATCGCAGCGCTGTGTACACCACAAGGTGTAGTACACCGCAATGGCCATGCACCACAGTGCGTCTGCACACCACCATGCCTGGGATGTCTGCGTGAACCATACATGCTGTTGCAACAACAGCTGTGTACACCACAAAGTCTGTCTACACCATAACGACTGGGTGCACCACAATTCCCGCGTGTACCGCGCGGCCAGCGTGCACTGATGCTTGTGTGCACTACAACGCCTGCGTACATAACAGTTCCTGATGCGGCAGCATCAAATGCGTGCACCACATCGCCTCGCTGCCTGTGCACAACGCAATGCCTGTGTACGCGCTGCTCACGTGCACCTCTGTACGCCTATGGACGACGTCGACCGTCGTCGTCGCGGCCGTCGCCGTCGTCGTCGTCGTGCCCCCCTGCCACTCCAAGCCCCACCGTTTCACCAACGTGCATCCAAACATCAGAATGCTGTGACCAACACCACCGCGCCGTTGAGCACAGCGCTCCCTGTGAGCTCCCTGCGACGCCCCCCCCCGCCCCCGACCTTGCTTAACCGACAAGGTGAGGTTATGCGGGGGGGAAGGCGGGGGGGGCGAGCCCGATAACCCGGGTCATCGCCCGGCCCTCAAAAAAACAGTCTCCTGAGCGCACGCGTCGCCCCCGCGGGTAAGACGCACAAATCCGCCGACCCTGTCGGCGTGTGTGAGGGGCTTGTCTGCTCGAGACGCCGTTTCCGTCAGTCGCCGTCTCCGTCGTCCCCTCTCCCTGCATCCTCCTCCTCCTCAAGCCTGTCAGCGAGACAGAAATCGAAATGTCGCAAACGAGTCGAAGCGAAGCCCCTTCCGTTTGATCCCTCCCCCTTGGGGGGGGGGTCCCGGAGGGGGGGGGGTTCAGATACGCATCCCCCCCTGGGGGCCCTGGAGCCCTAGGGCTTCAAAAGATACAACGACAGGCCAAGAGTGCCCCAAGAGGCCCCCGAGAGAGTCCAAGAGGGCCCCAAATCGCCAAACAATCGGTCCAAAACGCCTTCACGCCCTCCAGACTGCCCGTCCCAAGAAGCCTCCAAGAGCACTCCCGAGAGGGCCTCAAAAAGCAAAATCCATTGATTCCCCTTGATGTTTTTAAGGATTTGGGTGTTCTCGCCTTTTCCTCTTCCCGCCGCTCCAAGACGGCCCAAGAGGCCCCCGTGATCGCCCCACGACGGCCTAAGAGGCCCCCAAGACGGCTCCAAGAGCGTGCCCAGATGGGGGACCCGAACGGACATTTCGAGCCCTCGGCCCCGAGAGGCTCCCAGCAGGCCCCAAGAGGTTCCCAAAAGGCCCCAGGAAGCCCACAAGAGGTCCCCAGGAAGCCCGAAGAGGCCCCCAAGTGGCTCCCACGAAGCCCCCAAGAGGCTCCCAAGAGGCCCCAAAAGGCCTCCCCAGAGGCCCCCGAGAGCCTTGCGAAGAGACCCCAACAAGCATCCCTGAGGACTCTGGCCCACATCACCGTAGTCGTCGTCGTCGTCGTCGCCGCCGCCGCCGCCGCCGCAGCCGCCGCCGCCGCCGCCGCCGTCGTCGTCGTCGTCGTCGGTCGTCGGTCGTCAGTCGTCGTCGTCGTCGTCGTCGTCGTCGTCGTCGTCGTCGTCGTCGTCGTCGTCGTCGGCGGCGGCGGCGGCGGCGGCGGCGGCGGTGGCGGCGGCGGCGGCGGCGTCGTCGTAGTCGTCGTCGTCGTCGTCATCGTTGTCGTCGTCGTCGTCGTCTCGGGCCTGAACCGACGGTGGGATCTAGTAAGGCTTCGGGTTGCACGCAGACAGTCCACCCAGGTAGTCCTGGCTGGCCTCAACAAGCGCCCTGGGCAGTCCCAACTGGCCTCAACAGGCCCCCAGAGTAGTCCAAGGCGGTCTGAACACCAAAACCATGGGGGGCCTGTTGAGGCCAGCTGGGGCAACTTGGGGGGGCGTACTGCGCGCAGCCCGAAGCCTTACCAGGTGGGATCGGCTCAAAATGCACTCTCCTCAGTCGAGGAAGAAGGACTCCCCGAGGAAGTTTACGATCTTCTGGCGGCTGAAGCTCGACTCCTCTCTGGTCAATAACGCCGCGGGTCCAGCGTGGCTGCGGGGTAGTCGAGCATATGCATCGGCAGGGACATCCAGACCCAAACATGCTCTCGTCGCTGAAAAATAGAACGGGAAGTTTCTTGACCGTTTTCTGCCTCCATGGGGGCCTCGACGAGCCCAAGGAGGGTCAAAAAGCGACTCGAGATGAAAAACCAACCCTGGTGAAGAGGGCCAGACCTCTGGGGGTCCTGTATTGAAGTATCCTGGCGACGGACCCAGCCATATGCAGCTGTGAATTCCGCAGCTGTGAAGATGGTCTTCGGTGGACTTCCCCATGGGGTCACGAAACGCGCGAGGGGCATGCCGAAATGGGGGGGCGGATGGGGGCCGCAAGCAGACTGTGCCATTTGGGTCTTAGGTGGAGCTCCCCATGGACACCGCGAAACGTGTGAGTGGCGTGTCGAAACGGGGCGAGGCGCATGCGAACTGTGTCGCTGGGGCTCCCGTTGGGGCCACGAAGCGTGTGGGGAGACGGGCGTGACGCCCGCATGCGACATGCGGCACTGGGGCCTTGTGCGGAGTTCCATTTGGGGCCACGAAACGCTTGAGAGGTGTGCCTAAATGGGCGTGACGCCCACGTACGAACGTCGCCACTGGGCCCTCATGTGGAGCTCCGTATGGGCCCACGAAACATGTGAGGGGTGTGCCGAAACGGGCGTAACGCCCACATGCTGACGTCGCCACTGGTGCCTTTGTGGTGGAGCTCCCCGTGAGGCCTCGAATCGTGTGAGGGGTGTGCCGAGAGGGGCGGCGGGGACGCCTGCGAACTGCGCCACGGGGACCTTCGGTGGAGCTCCCGTTGGGGCCACGAAACGTCTGAACTGTGTGCCGAAACGGGCGTAACGCCCGCATAAGAACTGCAGCACTGGGACCTTCGGTAAAACTCCCTACGAGGCCACGAAACGTGTGGGGGGTGTGCCGATGCAGAAACGATGCAGGGACGGGAGGAGGGAGGAAGGGCAGCGGGAGGAGCAAGTGGGAGGGACGCGGAGGGCTCTCTCGTCACAACGAGGAACCACCTCCACAGGATGGTTGGGAAAAAAAACAAGGCATCGCATTTCTGGGGAAACAGGGATAAGGAGAGAGAATCTGCGCACCAGCTCTGGTGACCGGAGCGGTCCCATTAGGGGCAGACGTGCATGTAGAGAGAAAGCGGCGCACGTCAGAGGCGCATTGGAAAAATGGTGGAATAAAACGCTATAGGACAATTATGATGGTTCCGTGTTTTGGAACAGCACTGGAATACGGAAACGAATACTTCTACTTCAGGGTCCCAGCGGATCTAGGAACGAGCCTGAAAGCAGCCGCTGAGCCAAAGCAGGGACCAAAGGAGAAGAGCACGGGGGGAAGGGAACGGGTCAATCGATAGTCATGCATGAGAAACTCTGGCTGTACAAAACGAAACTGTCGCAAAAGGGGTAAGGATACTTCAAGGATCGTTTGGGGGGTCCAGACGCCTCGAGGCGGTCCCAGAGGGCGCTAATGGCAAAGGAGGAGGGGGCAAGAGGAGAGGAGGATGGAGGTGGTGGAGGAGGAGGAGGAAGAGGAGGAGGAGGAGCAGGATGATGAGCAGGTTCAACCGACGGACGCATCCCCCTGAGGACAAACACCGATGATCGGTTAGTGTAGGAATGGAAGAGCAAGGAGGAGCGAAGAGTTTTAGTGGACGGAGGACGGTACAACATAATCGCTCCGCCGTGGTGGACGCTGGTCTCAAAACGACTGGGAAAAATGCAGCCTGGTGGCGGCGGCCAGGGCTAGAAATGTCCCATTCGCCCTTGAACGGGCACCCCCTGCAGCGAAGAAGTCTACCTTATACCGTCCGTCACCCGCTAATCGGTGAAGTGAACAGCTGGTGCCCCCCGATCTGAAGAGCGGTCGTGTGCCTCAAAAATGGCCCCTCGACAAGCAGGAAGGCTTCTGAGAGTGGAAAATTATTCTCTCCAAAGCGCTCGAGCCGAAACGATATCGGCCCGTCCAACATGTCTCTCGGGAGGCTGCAAATCTATCCAGCCCTCCCGGCCTTCCGCGCTCCTTCCGCGTGGGAGGCCGCCGACTCTTACGGCCGGCACAAAGTCAGCGGAGCGTGGCGATCCACCACTCCTTAGAATCCAAAGCGCGCGGCCAAACGCCGCCCAGCTCAAGCGCTCTGAGGGATGTCTCACTCATCACTCATCCATCCAGCGCCGCCCGCAGGGCCAGTCGGCCTCGACCTGCCCTCGCCACGAACCCCATCATCGCCAGGAACTTCTGAATCAGGGGCCCTTCCAGGTGCTTCGTACCGATGTCACTGATGTTCTCGAGACCTGCTATCTTGTTGACGCGCAGCTTCTTCTGCTGCACAGCCCTCTGCAGCCACAGCAGAGGTGTATGCGGGTGTCGAACTCGTCCGACTCCACGACGTTCTGCGATGCCCTTGCCCGCCGTCGCGTCGCACTTCAGCACGATCTCGAGGTCTACACCCATGTCCTTTGCGAGACTATTGAGGGCGAGCCCGATACTGCCGCCCTTCACCAGCGCGTGGAACTCCGCTTCTCCCGTAGATAGAGCATTGAACCCTAGGGTTGCCGAACTGCTTCTAATCCAATGCTTCCCAATCATCACCGTACACGATGAAGTAGACTTACGTGTTCTCAGGCAGCCTGCGAAGTCACTGTCCGTATAAACTTGAGCAACTTGCCGATCTGCCTGCCGTGGATACTCAACCAGCCTCGGGGTGCCTACGAGGTACCGACCGATCCATTTCATGGCCTGCCATCCGCCAATCGCCGGGTCCTGCATCACTCGTGCTGATTCCTTCGCCGCGAACTGCAGATCAGGTCGATCCTGCGCCAGGTATTGGATACGCATGCACACTGAGCGGTAGATGACCCGCTCTCGTCCTTGTAGTGCCTCTCCATCCAGCTCCTGCCTCTTGACCCCCGGCGTGACCACTGGCTTGCTCTCTTTACCCTGCAGGCCCAGCTGGGCCAGGATGATCTCCACGTGCCTCGGGTCCGCCTCGTACTCGATCTTCTCCACGTCGTTGCCGTTCGGCCTGACCCACCTCACGATGCGATTCAGCACCATGATCTCGTCGATGTCGCCGCTCTGCGGGTCAGGCCCCAGAACCCGTCGTACCTTCACGATCAGGTGCTCGCCGAGGTTCTCCGTGAAAGCCTTTGAATCCTTTCGCCCACCGAGCACCACAAAATCGTCGCCGTGCCTCCAAACGACCAGCTTACCAACCTGGTAGATGCAAGGCGAGAACTCGCCCTGCTTCGACTTCAGGATCCTCATCATGATGTCCTCCACCTTCAGGTCGAATGATGAGCCGGCATCTCTCAGCCCATACATGGCCTTCAGCAGCAGCCAGCACTCGTCATCCTTGCACTCTAGATCCTCCGCTGGCGCCTTCAAGTACACTGGCCTCTGCACCTCCGAGCGTAGATGCGCTCTTGAGATATCGATGAAGGTCAGCACTCGATCTTCATGCCGCCCTGTCATCGCCATAGACAGAATCATCCTCAGGCCCTCCAGCGGCGGGGTCGCCGCGAAGGTCGCCGCAGCGCCCTCAGGCCCAAGGGTGCTCAGCACCCCCGCGTCTCTTTCGCCACCAACCGACTCCGTAGTTCTGGCTTCTGATCGTCTCCCTTGTTGGTGTCGACCCAGCCGCTTGGAAGCGGCTTGGTTCCCGTCACTTGCAGCGCCTCGGAAATCTTTCTCCTCTCGAACACTCCGAGCCTGCTCATGTAGCCCATCTCGTCCATGCGCGCGTTCTGGACGCCTACCGGGTCCAGCACCGCACCGCTGATCCCATCGTAGAAGGTCGCCATCTCCTCCTCGGTCGCCTGGTCCAGGATCTCTGGCTCCTCCGCGGTCTGACCAACTTCGAACGCATGGATCCCTTTACCGATCTTCAGCTCGTTCCTGATGCCCTTCAGGATTGCCTTCACCAGCCCTAAGGGGTACCTCTCAGCCGCCTTCGCCCTCCTCTCCAGGAGGTGCACATGCTCGTGGGAGCCGTCACACGCGATCCCCACCTGCTTCGCCACCTCGCGGCTATTCGTCATCCAGCCCGTCGGCTTCGCCACGAGGCACTCCGAGCCGTCCGGCCAGTATGACTTGGCTCCGAACACACACACACACACACACACACACACACACACACACACACACACACACACACACACACACACACACACACACACAGACACACACACACACACACTGGCGGCCCTTGACCACTGGGACGCATGGCAGCTCCCTGATGCTCTTGATGCACTCCTCTTTCCAGCTTGACGCCGTCCAAGGGTGCTCGAACAGGAACCACTTCCCCCTCGAATGCTGGTAGGCCGCCAGCTCCATACAGAAGCCCAGGAAGACCTTGCATTCCGCGAGCAGCCTCTGAAACTTGACCTCATCGCGCTTGCCGCTCGCCTTCAGCAACTCCATCAGCTGTGAGAACGGGGTGCATACAGGAGACATGATGAGGAAGGCAGGGTCTCCCTCCTCAATCTCCGCTCTCGCTCGCTTCCTCTGCTCCTCGAGCCGGACCCGTCCTGAGGTCCATCGCCACTCCTGGCTTCAGATTGAACTTTGGAGCTCCCTTGGCGAACTCCCCTGGGTTGAACACCTCCTGCAAATCCAAGCTGTCGAGACCGAGCTGTTCCAGCAGCGCGCCGATCTCCGCCGCGTCGCCCATGGCCACGTCCGCCGCCGTCGGAGCGCTTCCCGACGCAGTCCCAGATGAGCTTGGCGCCCCTGGTTCACCGACTGGTCCACGATCACCGACTCGTCCTCGCTTGGCTCCAGGTTCTTCGTCTTCACTTCTCTCGGGTCGCTCACCAGCTACTCGCCGTAGGTGAGCCTCTGCCACCCGAGCTCCACCGCCGATGGTTGTCCCGAGCTGCTGCGCAGCCCCTGCAACCTGGGGCGTAGCCGCAGCGCCGCAGCTCCACGCCCTTCCTGACGCAGACCCT